GCCGCCGGGTTCTCCGCCTGTTTTTAAGGCGCGTTACTTGGCTCGAGGCTTCAGTCAGCGGCAGGGAGTTGACTACTTTCAGACCTTCTCTCCCACCCCGAAGATGACCACTCTTCGGGTGCTGCTGCACATAGCCGCTCAGCGCGACTACGAGCTTCGCTCTCTTAACTTCAGCACAGCTTTCCTGCAAGGCAGCCTGCACGAGGAGATCTTGTTGCGCCGCCCTCCTGGCTTCACTGGGTCGTTTCCTCCTGGTACCTAGTGGAGCCTCAGGTGGCCAGTTTACTGTCTCTGTCAGGCGCCCCGTGAGTGGCACGACACACTGAGGACTACACTTGCGGCTCTTGGATTTGCTCCTTCTACTGCTGACCCGTCGTTGTTTCTACGCACCGACACATCTTTGGCGCCGTTCTACATCCTCGTGTACATCGACGACTTGGTCTTTGCCACTGCTGACACTGCTGGACTCGCCCACGTGAAGTCGGAGCTGCAGAAGAGACACACGTGCACAGACCTGGGTGAAATGCGCAGCTACCTTGGCTTGCAGATCACCCGGGACAAAGCACAGCGCACCATTACCTTGACTCATTCACACATGGTACAGCAGGTCCTTCAGCGCTTCAACTTCACGTACTCCTCGCCTCAGGCCACTCCTCTGTCTACTCGCCACTCGCTTTCAGCTCTGCCTTCGGATGAGTCCGTAGAGCCGAGTGGCTCGTACCCAGAGCTTGTTGGTTGCCTCATGTACCTGATGACCTGCACACGACCTGACCTTGCATACCCTCTTAGCATCTTGGCACGCTATGTTGCTCCTCTAGGACCTCCAGCTCCCGGGTCACAAGCTCCAGCGCCTACACCTCTTGGGCCTCCAGCTCGAGAGTCCGCAACACCACCAGCTCCGGCCGCTCCAGTACCTCCAGCTCCCGCGCCTCCAGCCGCAGTGCCTCCAGCCCCAACAGGGCCACTCAAAAGGTGGCAGTGCTGAGTGTACCACTCGCGTAGCTGCTGCGGCTAGAGAGCACCTCCAGAACCTCCAGGACGAGCACCTTTAGGACTAGCAGTGCCATCTCTACCAGCACCATGAGTACCGATAGTAGCACCAGCTCCGACAGCTCCAGTAGCTCCACTACGAGCACCTTCAGGACCAGCAGCTCTAGCACCTCTAGTACCTCCAGTAGCAGTAGCACCACCAGCTCTGGCAGCTCCAGTGCCTCCAGGACGAGCACCTCCATTTTGAGCACCTCTAGGACGAGAACCTCCAGGACCAGTAGCTCCAGCACCTCGAGCAGCAGCACCACCAATAGCTCCAGCAGCTCCAGGAACTCCACTACCTCCACCACCTCCAGCACTAGCAGCACCACCGGCTCCGGCAGCTCTAGTGCCACCAGCACGAGCACCCCTGGGACCAGCAGTGCCAGCACCACCAGCATCTCCAGCACTAGCAGCTCCAGGGCCTCCAACCCCAGTAGTGCCACTCTGAAGGCTACAGCGCCGAGCATACCACTCGCGCAACTACTGTGGTGAAAGAGGCTCCCGCCGGCTAGACCGCTGGGGCGAGGCACCAGTGGGACCTGTCAGAATCCCAACCACTAGACCATTGGGATAAAAGGGCTTGTTAAGTAGCGGGTCAGTGCGCCCATAACCCCCCAAGACAATGAGCCTGTAACCCTTCCCTAGGATCAATCGGGGATCTCCAGTGGACCTCTGACAGGACCTCCAGGACTAGTAACTCCACCACCTCAAGTGCCTCCAGTACTAGTAGTACCTCCAGCACCTCCAGGACTAGCAGCTCCAGGGCCTCCAGCTCCAACAGCGCCACTCCGAAGGCTACAGCGCCGAGCGTATCACTCGCGCAACTGTTGTGGTGAGAGCAAATCCTATAGTGTAGACGCAGAACCCCTAGGCTCAGCACCCCCAGACTTAGCACCCCCAGGCTCCGCACGCCCAGGCTCAACACCCCCAGGCTCCGCACGCTCAGACGCAGCACCCTCGCGCTCCGCACGCTCAGGATCAGCACCCGCAGGCTCAGCACCCTCAGCAGCACCAGAGTCACCAGTGACCTCGACAGGCTTAACCAAGGGGAGTGGGTCTACCTGAGACACACCTAAAGGAGCAGGACCTCGAGGGGGGAGGGGGTCTACCGAAGGGGGACCAGGAGCAAGGAAGAGCGGCGGGGGAGGGGGAGGGGCAGTGCGGTAGGGGAAGAGATGGTAAAGGGGAACCGACTCGTCAAACGTGACGTCCTGAGAGGACAGAACATGGCGCGAGGTGGGGTGGTAAAACTGCCAGCCAGGCGCATCAGGGGGAAAACCAAGGAAGACACAGGGAATGGCGAGGTCTCCGACACGGAGACACGGGGCCAGAGGTTGAGCTGATGCGCAGTGTACCGGACCGCAAACAGGCCACAGAAAATGGGGGGCAGCTGCATGGATCTTGGAGGTACGAGCGACCTCCATGACTAGGCCAATGCGGCGCTCAGCAACCCCATTCTGCTACGGAGAGGCCGGAAGCGTGAACGACTGGGTGATGCCCTCCCCATAACAAAAGTTCCGCAAGAGGTCGGGGGAGAACTCACCACCTCTGTCAGAGTTCAGACGCAGGAAAGGAAGGTCCGTGTCGAACCGCTCGCGGAGCTAGAGACAGATAGTGCGGATACAAGGGATCAAGACATGAGGGACCTCACCCTTGCTGCGCAAGGGGAAGACCGTGGTGTAACGCGAGTAGTCGTCAAGAACCAGCAGAAAGTATCGCTCGTGGCCTTGTCCCTAGACGCGGGCTGGGCCCCACATGTCCAAGTGGAGAGTCTGCAGGGGAGCAGTCGTCGGGGGAAACGAGGAAGAGTGAGGAGCGGCGCGCTGCCACCCGTCGACACAGGGAAGGCAGGGAGGGGCAGGCGAGGGTGGGAGGGGAGGCAGAGACCTGGGAAGACCAGAGACAAGAAGGCGAGAGTGCATACCACGGATGCGTGGCAGAGAGGGGTGACCAAGGCGGTGGTGCCAAAGGAGAGCCTGGTGCGATAGGACAGGACACGAGCAGGAGGCTGCTAGCTGACCTGACGCGGACGCAGACGCAACTACCTGAGGAGGCGCAGTAGTCAGTGTGTACAAGCTCGGCCCAGGCTGACGGGTGAACGTGGCCAGGTGACGGCCCGTCGGTGCACACGTGCAGACTGCCACACGCTGTCCTTCAGGAGAAAATGTATTAACCCATTCATCCTGAAGGACGGCGTTGCTCACCAAGTCCGTAGAGAACGAGGGGAGGTGATGACCTAACAGTGAGCCAGACGGAACCGCCGGACAAGGGAGAACAGTGGAGGAACGTGCAAGAACCGGTTCCACAAAGGGGTCAGCCAGAGAGACTGCAACCAGTGCTGCGAGTGGTGTGACTGTGGTGCTGTCGCGAAAGAAGCAGCGGGAAGCATCTGAGTCAAGCGTAAAGGTGTGCAAGGCCTCAGCAGGCGCAGTACCAAAGAGAGCAGACTCACCAGCACCTAGAGCAGAACCACCAGCACCTAAAGCAGCAACCGCTATACCAGGGTTAGGCGGCACACACAGGTAACAGTCACTCTGAGTACTAAAAGTCAAAGCATACATGGCAGTGATGATAGTGTCATAGTCTAGAGCAAAGATATCCGCCTTGTTCCGAAGCAGCTCTAGCCAGCGAAGAGCTCAGCCTCGTCGCCAACCACTGCATGCAGGCGCCGCTCAGACAGGCGAAGCAACGAGTCTGTGTGTGACCAATTGTCCCGCAAATCTGACCAGCCCGATCACCTGTGCGAATGACGTACGGGCAGCGGACAGCACTCCAAGTCCCCCCACTCTGAGCGACCACTCACGAAGCTGCAGACGCCGCCGGGGCATAAGGGTCTCGCGCGGACGCCGCTGCAGCTGCATTTGGCACCGCCAGAAACTCCGCACTAAACAGCTCCACTACGACTGCTACTACGGCCGCCACCACCACACCTACTAGCGTACCACTCACGAAGCTGTTGGGGCGTAAGGGCCTCGCGCGAACGCCGCTGCAGCTGCATCTGGCCACCGCCAGAAACTCCCCACCGAACAGCTCCACATCGACTGCTACTACGGCCGCCACCACTCCCATTGCTGCCACCACCGCCATCACCACTCCCACCACTATTACGAAGTGAAGTCATGGCGGGCAAGCAAGGAGGCACGCGACCAGTAGGTCAGTACGGAGGGAAGGCAGTAGCACGAGTAGCAGCACCAGCAGTAAGAGCAGCAGAGCGGCTCGGTGAGACTAGGCTGCAGCACCTCCAGCACTCCTAGCAACACCTCCACCAGCAGCAGCATTAGCACGAGCAGCAGGGCGGATCGAGTTGGGCAGGGCGGCTCGGGCTAGGCGGCGCGGCTCAGCCTGGGCAGCGTGAGCAGCAGGGCGCACTCAGTGCAGGGCAGCAGAGCGCGACGCGCGGGCTGCAGCAGGGCGCGACGCGCGGGGTACCAGAGCGCGACGCGCGGGCTGCCGTAGGGCGCGACGCGGAGGGCAGCATGGCGCGATGCACGGGCTGCAGCAGGACGTGGGACAGGGCGTGCACGGGGCAGCGCGACGCGGGGCAGGGCAGGGCGTGCGCATGGCAGGGCAGGGCGTGCGCATGGCAGCGCGACGCAAGGCAGAGCAGGGCGTGCGCGGGGCAGCGCGGCGCAAGGTAGTGCAGGGCGTGCGCGGGGCAGCGCAACGCAAGTCAGGGCAGGGCAGGGCGCGCGCTGACCGCGCAGCGCAAGGCAGGACGTGGGGTAATGTGGTAACTGCAATCAGTCAACAGGAATGGTGGGTCCGAAAAAAAACGGTCCTACAGACTCACTGCTCTGAAACCATGTTAGAAACTAACGAGCAGGAATGATTGCATTGACATCAAACAGAATACAAGTACTAACCCTAATTGGGTTGTACCCCATATAGGCCACCCCACTACAGCCTACACGACATAAGCAGCATTATAGTTTGACACTCATCACCTGTACAATTCATTACTTCTCCTCTTACGCCTCTTGCTGTCTCGGCAAGCCGCCGCAGTCTCCTTGGATCAGCTCTCTCGCAATCTCCTCAAACCGAGCAGAAGCATCTTCTGCCAATCGCTGTGAGAGCTCCTCAAACCGCGAGTAAGCATCCGCTAGCAACTCCCGAGTGAGCTCATCAAACTGAACGCATGCATTCCTCACAGCCGCACCCATGGCTGCACTCAACCTCTCACCCGATCTGTCGACCAACCGGTCGCCCGACCTCTCGCCCGAAACCCCTGCGCCCGAATCCCCTGGCAGGGGGGCTGTACTCACAGCCGCACCCATGGCTGCACTCAACCTCTCATCCACCCTCTCACCCGATCTGTCGACCAACCGGTCGCCCAACCTCTCGCCCGAAACCCCTGCGCTCGAATCCCCTGGCAGGGGGGCTGTACTCACAGCCGCACCCATGGCTGCACTCAACCTCTCACCCACCCTCTCGCCCGAAACCCCTGCATTTAAACCCTTTTTACCTTCTGTAGACCAATCTTTTCCTCTCCAAAAAAACCTTTTATCATTTTGCTCCCTCCCCTCCATCCCACTAATCGAACCACCACCAGTGGCTGCTGCCCCTTGTCTCTGGGCTGTTGCGAGCTCATACCTTCCCTCCCTTCGCTCTCTCTGCTCCATCCCACCAGTCAAACCATGGAGCGTGCCTGCTCCAGCAGTCAAACAATCACCACCACCAGAGGCTGCTGCGCTATTCACGAGGGCTGCTGCAGGTTCATAACTTCCCTCCATTCGCTCTCTCTGCTCCATCCCACCACCCCTACCACCCAGTGAGCCGCCCCCAGCAGTCAAATCACCCGGTGCTGCAGTCAAATCACCCGGTGCTGCAGTCAAATCACCCGGTGGTGCTGCAGCTGCCCCTTGACGCTGGGCTGAGACAGGCTGGGCTGATACAGGCTGGGCTGATACAGGCTGGGCTGATACAGGCTGGGCTGATACAGGCTGGGCTGAAACAGGCTGGGCTGATACAGGCTGGGCTGATGCAGGCTGGGCTGATACAGGCTGGGCTGATACAGGCTGGGCTGATACAGGCTGGGCTGATACAGGTTGGGCTGATACAGGCTGGGCTGATATAGGCTGGGCTGATACAGGCTGGGCTGATACAGGCTGGGCTGATACAGGTTGGGCTGATATAGGCTGGGCTGATACAGGCTGGGCTGATACAGGCTCATAACCTGTCGGCTGAAGGTATGTAATCAGCACAGGGACTGCAGAGGGCCAGGGAGCTGTAGCAGGCCAGGGGGCTGTAGCAGGCCAGGGGGTTGCAGCAGGCCAGGGGGCTGTAGCAGACCAGAGGGTTGCAGCAGGCCCGGAAGCTGTTGCAAAACAAGAGGTCGCAGCAGGCCCGGGGACTGTAGCGGGCCAGGGGGCTGTAGCAGGCCAGGGGGCTGTAGCAGGCCAGGGGGTTGTAGAGGGCCAGGGGACTGCAGAGGTCCAGGGGACTGCAGAGGTCCAGGGGGTTGCAGAGGTCCAGGGGGTTGCAGAGGTCCAGGGGGTTGCAGAGGTCCAAGGGGTTGCAGCAGGCAGGGGGTTTGCAGCAGGCCTGGAAGCTGTTACGAAACAAGAGGTTGCAGCAGGCCCAGGGGCTGTAGCAGGCCAGCGGGCTGTACCAGACCCGGGGGCTGTTGCAAAATAGGGGCCAGACAGAGGGGCTGTAGCAGGGAAGGGGGCTGTAGCACCAGTAGCGAACGTAACTGTGTTACCAGGCATGTGCTGCAGGCTGTTGTCAAATCCGCCGTATTTTCGCATCAGGTCAAGAGTTGAAGGTTCACCAGGATTTGATCCTGTTATTGTGTCAGGAACTGTAGAGTCAGGAACTGTAGACCCACCAGGATTGGATCCTCTTATTGTGTCCGGAACTGTAGACCCACCAGGATTTGATCCTCTTATTGTGTCAGGAGCTGTAGACCCACCAGCGGGAAGCAGACCTGCTGTAGACGCACCAGCAGGACCTATGGTGCTGGGAATTTGAGTGACTTTGTTGCGAAGGCTCATTAGGTAGTTATCAAGGGGGTGCCTCGAGTTAGAGGGTTGCTGCTGCTGCTGCTGCTGCTGCTGCTGCTGCTGCTGCTGCTGCTGCTGCTGCTGCTGCTGCTGCTGCTGCTGCTGCTGCTGCTGCTGCTGCCGCTGCTGCTCCTGCTCCTGCCGCTGCCGTCCAGTCTCCCCCCACCCTGAACCGATGCACTCAGGAAACGCATAAGCTGGCATCTCAGCAGGCTGCCTCCAAGTCGCAAACACCGTACCAACAGCAACACCAGCAGACGCCCAAGCTGCCCTTCTAGCCCTTTTTGCCGCCACGTTTTTCCTTGCCTGAATCTCAATCCCATAGAACAGTCGAACGTACTCAAACCATGGCGGTTCTGTCGTATTCCTAACCCATGCAGGTTCTGCCCCCAGCCCCCTGCCCGTACCCCTCCCCGTCCCCTTAGGCCTTCCCCGCTTCTTTCCCCGCGCCTCCGTGTTCCCCTCTGACTCGTTATTGGGTTGCTCATGCTCATCCGCGTTAGTACACCCTCCCTGCCGCGGCTCAACCGAGCCCCCCGCCTGTTGCTCTGCGCCCGGGGGTATTCCCTTTGCGGGGGACGGTGGCACCCCCGCCCGCCGCGGCACCCCCGCCTGCCCCTTCCGCCACCGTATCCGGCGCGGGTCGCGCGTCTCCGCGTCGTAGCGCGCTCTCATGCGCGCCCACTGCTTCTGCATCGCCGTCGGGACGCGCCGCCATTCGGGGTTCGCGCGCCGGATCGCGCGCCACACCTGCCGCCAGTAAACGAGGTTGCTTCTCCGCATCACCTGCCCGCTGCGCCGGCAGAAAACGACAGCCGCTGCGAGCTCCATCATCTCCGCATCGCTCCACAGCTGGGTCCTCGGGCGCGCCGCGAGCTCCTCCATTATCTCCCATTCCTTGTCGCATCCCCGGAGCTCGTACCACGGGACCTCGAGACCACCGGGTTGCACCACGCGACCCGGTTCCCCCACGCGATCCAACTCCCCCAAGCGATCTGCCTCGGCCTCTGCATCTGTTTCCCTCGCTCGATCCGTATGTCTGTCTCGATCCGTTTCCCTGTCTCGTTCTGTTGACTCATACGGCCTTCCAAACCGCCCTCTGAGGTGGTACTCGTCGATATCGTACGAGTCGTCCGACTCGCCGTATCTTTCGGCGTCGATTTCACCATCGTCGTCGCCGTCGCCGAAGTCGTCGCTAAATTCGTCGCCAAAGTCGTCGTAATCGTCGTCGCTTTTGTCGTTTTCGTCGGCGTCGCAGCAGGTTAACGCGGCAGCGTGATGCTCCTTAATCCACCGAACGAACGGAGGATCGGGTCGCACAATCGCCGCCCAATCGATTTCCGTGACCGTACCGTTACCGTTACCATTACCTGTACGATTCCAAGAAGCCATGATAATTCTGGAGTGAGGCTATTGCCAAGGAGAGACCAGAAAGTCGTGCTACCAGGACGTGTTCAGAATTCGTCCAAACAGCTGGTCCAGGACCAGAAAACACCAGCTGGACAAGACGTGATGACCCTAGACTATATGCTGGACTCTTCGTCTGCCTTACCCGTAACAGAATATGAACTCCTCAACAGAGTACCTTGGGAATAAGATCGGTGGCAGGTATGTTGTCTCAGCAAGTTTTAGACAAACGATCGTTTCAGATCGGTGCTGGAATATCCAGAACGGTTGTACAGGGTTTGGCGTTGGTCCCGATTGGAGGCAGCCTGTCCTGTCTGGAGTTCCCAAGAGCGGTTCTTGCTGGCTCGACTTGTTCCCCCGAATCCCGCTTGTTGTCCAACGCTGAATAATGTAGCACGCGGTCAGCACAAACAGGGTCAGATAAAACAATGAACTAGCGTCAACGAAAGACGAACACCGCAGTTGACGATTTGTAGTTTCGCAAATCACTTTAGTGGCGCTGGAAACCTAGGCAGTGGCTGACGAAGGCAACAACGATAGCGTATCGCCTGTCCGAAAAACCTGTCGCGAATTGGTGTCTGTCCAGCCAATATTGGGGTTGTTCGCAGGGCCGGACCCAGGCTTGCAACGGGATTCAAGTGTCGGCCTGATCGCCACTATCGACCCAGCCACCGCACTATTTACCGCACCTTTTTGAAGCTTATGAAACCTACAGAAACGGTTTGAACCCTTGAAAACAATGACCCTCTGCACAATCATTCAACATCACCACTAAGTTTACTGGAGCTGCAGTGAATTGCAAAACGTTAGGGGTAAAAGGCCGAGACTCATGGTGCAGTGAAATCTATTGAAATCTGTAAGTTTGTGCACCACCAATTTGCTTTCATGCAATTCACCCCCTTTTGCACCTCTTGCAAGCTCAACTAGTTGTAACAATATCTTCAATAAACTCTCTCGCGATCTCCTCAAACTGAGCAGAAGCCTCTTCTGCCGATAGTAGTGTAGTGACAGCTCCTTAAACTGAGAAAAAGCATCTTCTAGCAACTCCTGAGTCCCAAGTGAGCTCCTTGCTCCTGCTTCAACACAACTCACACCTGTACAATTTACCTCCACATGCCATCTCGGCAAGCCGCTGCAGTCTCCCCCATTAGCTCTCTCGCAATCTCAAACTGAACAGAATCATCTTCTGCCAATCTCTCACCCAGGTTGCAACTCACCACTCGTACTACTTACCTCCTCTTGCGCCTCTTGCCATCTCGGCAAGCCGCTGCAGTCTCCTCCATTAACTCTCTCGCAATCTCCTCAAACTGAGCAGAAGCATCTTCTGCCAGTCGCTGTGAAAGCTCCTCAAACCGCGAGTAAGCATCCTGCAGCAACTCTCTTGTGAGCACATCAAACTGAACACACGCGTTTCTCACAGCAGCACCCATGGCTGCACTCAATCTCTCACCCAACCTCCTGCCCCCCCTCTCGCCCCACCTCTCGCCCGAAACCCCTGCATTCGAGCCCTTTCCACCTCCTGTAGACCTCTCCATTCCTCTCCTTGCAGATCTTCTCTCATTCCGCTCTTGCGGCTCCCTTCTACGACCCCTTTCATGCAGTGAACCCCCCCGAGAAGTCAAATCACCCTCTACTGTAGCACCTGTAGTAAACGTAACCCCATTCCCAGGCAGCCGCAGCAGGCTGCAGTCGTATCCTCCGTTGTTTCGGATCAAGTCAGAATCTGACGGCCCACCATGTGTTTGCATCGGGTCAGGAAGAGTAGAGGCACTGGGACCTGTGGCTTTGGGAACTTGAGTGACTCTGCAGCGAAGGCTTTGCAAGTAGTTGTCGGAGGGTTGGCTTGAGTCGGAGGGTTGTCCCTCAGGGGCGACAGGGGAGACAGTGGGTGGCACTGCTGCTGGTAGAGGGAGGAGAGCAGATGGTGAAGAGAACGGTAGCTGCTGCTGCTGCTGCTGCTGCTGCTGCTGTTGCTCCTGCTCCTGCTGCTGCGGCCCCTTCGGCTGCCATCCCATCTCTCCCCAACATGAACCAATGCTGCCAGGAAACGCATAAGCTGGCATTTCAGCAGGCTGCTGCCTCCTTTCTGTAAACCCCGTAGCAACAGCAACAGCAGTAGCCACCCTAGCTGCTCTTCTAGCCTGTTTTCCTGCCATTTTTTTCCTCGCCTCAAGCTCAGTCCCATTGAACAATCGAATGTACTCAAACCATGCTGGTTCTGTCCTAGTCCCCCTACCCTTCCGCCCCCCCTTGGGCCTTCTCCTCACTTTTGCCTGCGCCCCTGCGTTCCCCCCTGACTCGTTATTAGGCTGATCATCCGCGTTAGTAACCCCTCCCTGCCGCTGCTCAACTGAGCCCCCCACCGTCCCCCCCCGCTTCCTCCGCCGCTTCTGCTTCCGCCGCTGATTGTGAATCTCCTGGTCGTAGCGCGTATTCATGCGCTCCCACTGCTTCGCCATTGCCGTCGGAACGCGCCGCCACTCAGGGTTGGCGCGTCTGAGCACGCGCCACACCTGCCAAGAGTATACACGACAGCAACAACAACTCTTTTTGTTAAAAAAAATGTTCAGAAAGTTGCAGTGTTTGTTTACAATGTTTTCAGGACTTGCTGCCATATATGACAAATGCTCTTAGAGCGGTTTTACCCGCCAGATCACACGCCGCACCTGTCGCCAGTAATCTTGCCCAATGCTCCGTCGCGTCGCCTCCTCGCTGCGCCGGCAGAAAACGACAGCCGCTGCGAGCTCCATCAGCTCCGCATCGCTCCAAAGGCTCCTCCGCGCCGCGAGCTCCACCATTATCTCGTCTTCGTTCTCGCATCCCCGTAGTTCGTACCAAGGGACCTCGAGACCACCCAGTTCCCCCACGCGACCCGGTTCCCCCACGCGACCCGAATCCTCCACGCGATCCGGTTTCCGCACGCGACCCTGCTCCTCCACGCGACCCGTTTCGGCCTCTGTATCCATTTCCCTGTCTCGATCCGTTTCTCTGTCTCGATCCGTTTCCCTCTCTCGATCCGTTTCCCTGTCTCGAAACGTGTCTTCTGTTGAGTCATACGCCCTTCCGAGCCGCTCTCCGAGGTGGTACTCGTCGATATCGTACGAGTCGTCCGACTCGCCGTCGTCGTTTTCGGCGTCGCTTTCGCCATCGTCGTCGCTCTCGTCATCGTCGTCGCTCTCGCCATCGTCGTCGCTCAAGTCGTCGCTAACGTCGTCACCAAAGTCGTCTCCGTCGTCGGCGTCGCTTTCGTCGTTTTCGTCGGCGTCGCAGCGGGTTAACGCGGCAGAGTGATGCTCCTTAATCCACCGAACGAAAGGAGGATCGGATCGTACAATCGTCGCCCAATCGACTTCCGTGCCCTCCTGGCCTGGTATACCGTTACCTGCACGATTCCTAGACGCCATGATGATTTTGATACGTGGCTATTACCAAAGAGTGACAGGAAATCTGTGCTACCAGGACGCGTTCAGAATTGTTTAAAGAGCCGGACATGGACCAGAAAAGACCGTACGTCTTGTCCGTGCAGGGTGACCAGTAAGGGAGGTCCGGTTTGGAAAGACGCGACGTTTCTAGACTGCTAGCTGGACTCTAGGTCTGTCTTGCCTCTGACAGACAATGAAGACTGATTGACAGAAACGCCTTGGGAATACACACACGACGGTGGCTGGTTATCAGAGCAAGTACCGGAGAACTGATCGTTACAGTTCGGTTTATCTTTGCGAAAGAACGGTTTAAAAGGGCATTAATACAATAAGATGTCGATCAGGTTATCCATCCCGTCGCAAACAACTCTGGCTGACACGACGACTCTCATGTCGTTCCCGCTTGTCTTGCAACGCTGAAAATCGTAGTAAGCGGTCAGCGGGGAACTATTTTCAGGGTCAGGAAAAAATTCAGCAGCGTCAACGAGAAATAGACACAACATATTAACGACTTTCGAGTTTCGCGAGTCTCTCAGAGCAGCTATATTCAGCGAGATGGTAACAGACGAAGACACACCCAGACAGCCCAAACCTGTCGCATCCCTGGCTGGTCACTGATTGGGGCCTTGGATGAGGGCACCTGCCCGCTTTTTAGAAGCGTAGTACAGTGAGAGTTCTGCCACGCAACTCCAGGAGAAGCCACCACAGGACGTCCTTTGCGGGCAGTGGTCACGACCAATGGCTGACACGTTAAGCGGCTTGACACCGTATGGTGATGGTTGTGTCGCCCAGAGACAAGCCCACGAAGGAGATTGTTTCTCAAACAGGCCCTTCAGTTCTATATCAGGTTTAGGGCATCCCGTTGTCAGAGAGCAGACTCGAGAGTGTTCACTGACTCTAAACGAACCATGAAAGTTTAAATTAGACGCAAATACCACAAGTTATTCACACATATACTACCGTATAATACTGATGCAATAGAAATCTGTCATGTAGTGCGCCGAAGAAAGTTTTGAATTACTCGCCCCACCTCCTCTCCATAATCTTCCTATGCATGATGCCCCACCTGCTCGGAAAGGAATTCATGCAAGGAAAGAAGACGAAAACAACAGCGAAGAAAAATGAAGATGCGGCGGGATCAATAAAAAAGGGGCACAAAGAGCAGGATATAGTTGGCACAACACATGTGGGGACAGCTCAATGAAAGTTAAGGGATGCTTTTGCAACCTTACAAAACATCTTGTCCTCATTTCCTCAACACTCACCTCGTCTAGAGTCACAAAAACAGCCCCTGCTAAGCCTCCCAACCAATCCCCATCAAAGGACAGCCAGCGATCCTTCATGCCCCACATGACCGTGGCTGCGGAGGAGGGCTGGCGTGACAGTTGCCTCACCCATGCGTCATTCCCTCTACACCCATGCATCAATCCCTCTGCACTCATCTCGAGTAGAGTCACAAGCACCGCCCCTGCCGCTCAACACACTTCACGAACTCCTTGGAAGGACAGCCAGCGGACATTCATGCCGCAGATGACAGAGGATGAGGAGGAAGGCGGGCTTGACCCCAAGAACGGGCACTATGGGTGAGGCGACTTTTGAGTCGCCTCAAAAGTCACCTGGATGACAGTGGGTGAGAGGAAAGGCTGGCTTGACCCCAAGAACGGGCACTATGGGTGAGGCGACTTTGAGTCGACTCAAAAGTCACCTAGATGACAGTGGATGAGGAGGAAGGCTGGCTTGACCCCACGCTTCTCGAACGCCGTCAAAAGACTGCCAGCGGTCCTCCTTCATGCCCCACATGAGGAGGCGGGTTGGCGTGACTAACTCTTGTTTCCTCTATCTGCTCTCACCTCGTCCAGAGTCACTAGAACAGGATCCCCGTCAAAAGAGTGCCCTACAAGTGTCACGATCCCCGTCAAAATACTGCCCTACAAGCGTAAGGATCCCCGTCAAAAGACTGCCAGCGGTCCTCCTTTATGCCCCACATGAGGAGGGTTGGCGTGACACTGAGTCGTTTTCATAACTTACTACCAATTGAGGGTCCTCCTTCCTCTGTCTGTATGTACTGACACGTGGCATGTGCTCATCATGTGGGGCATGTACGAGCCACTCACTCACCTCGTCCAGAGTCACTAGAACGGCCCCGGCTGCCCTGCGCGCTTCCCTGACCTCGTCAAACGACTGCCAGCGGTCCTTCATGCCCCAGATAATGGTGGAAGAGGAGGAGGGCTGGGCAGACACAGCAGCGAGGGCCTTGGAGACTAGAGGGTGTGACGCCTGGTAAGGGGTGTGGATAAAGAGAGAGGGAGGGCACAAGCAGGCATTATCAAGCCAAAGCCCAGTGGCAGCAGCAGCGGGGACTGAGAGGGGAGGGGAGAGACAGCTGAGAGGGCCTTGGAGACCAGAGGGAGGGACGCCTGTGGGGATGGAAGGCACATGCAGGCATTATCAAGCCAAGGCCCAGTGGTGGCACCAACAGCGGGGACTGAGAGGGGAGGGCCACGTGATTGAAGAAGGGTTTTGAGACGTCTCAAAACCCTTCTTCAAGCAGCGGGGATTGAGAGGGGAGGGCAGAGACAGTAGATCTGCCCTTGGAGAGCAGGGGGGGGGGACGCCTATGAGGAGGGAGGGACGCCTGTGAGGAGGGAGGGCACAAGCAGGCATTATCAAGCAAAAGCCCAGTGGCAGCAGCAACGGTCCTTCATGCCCCAGACTACTGTGGCTAAGGAGGAGAGTGGCAGCAGAAGCATTATCAAGCCAAATTCGAGTGGCGGCAGCAGCGGTGGTTGATGCCCCCAGATGACAGGAGGAGAGCTGGCTTGAGGAGGAGGGACAGTGAGGGCCTTGGCGACCACCAGGGGGAGTGACAGCTGGGAGGGAAGAGGGAGGGAGAGAGGGGGGGAACAAGGGGGGGCATGAAATGACTGCCAGCGGTCCTTCATGCCCCAGATGACAGTGGGTGAGGAGGAGAGCTGGCATTAAGCGGCCGAGAGGCCCTTGGCGACCACCAGGGGGAGTGACGGCTGGGAGGGGCAGAGCGGGGAGGGGGGAAGAATAAAGCCAAAGCTCTGAGCGGTGGCAGCAGCAGCAGCAGCAGCAGCAGCGGTGGTTGATGCCCCCAGATGATAGGAGGAGAGCTGGCATTAAGACAGCAGGAGGGCTGGCTTGAGAGGAGGGCTGGCTTGAGGAGGAGGGCTGGCTTGAGGAGGAGGGCTGGCTTGAGAGGAGGCCTGGCTTGAGACTGCAGATCTGGCCTTGGCGACCACCAGGGGGAGTGACGGCTTGGAGGGGGATCGAAGCAAAGCCCGATGCGCCACTGGCCCGGGTGATGGCTGTGAGGTGAGAGCACAGCCCCATGCGTCACTGGCCCGGGTGATGGCTGTGAGGTGAGAGCACAGCCCCATGCGCCACTGGCAACGTAGGGCCGGCAGTATGGTAAAAAGCTCTACCCTCCTTGTGCGGGACAGCCCACCTTGCTCACCTTGAGCTCCTTTTGTTGTCACTCATGGTTGGAATGGCAGCAGTACTAGTGAAACGCTTTAGAGCAGCAGTACTAGCAAGTAAAGAAAAAGAGTGAAAAATACCCTAGCTAAGACAACAGCCCACCTTGCTCACCTTGAGCTCCTTTTGAAAGGCCCTCGTTATGGCTGTGAGGGCACAGCCCCATGCGCCATGGGATAGGTGCAGTTGCTGTGAGCTCAAAACCCATCCCATCCGCTCTGCGTACCTTGAGATCCTTTTGAAACGCTCGGGTGATGGATGTGAGTGCAAACCCCGAGGCACCACTGGCGAGGTAGGGCCGGCGGTACACCATTGCATCCTCCTCGTCTATCAGGTAGCAGCCGGCCTCCTCTAGTACCCGATCGCTAGCACGTAGCGGGTCCTGCCAGCAGGGGATATGAGAGGGGCAAGGGGAGTGAGGTAGGGCCAGCGGTACACCGTTGCATCCTCCTCGTGGATCAGGTAACAGCCGGCCTCCTCCAGCACTCGATCGCTCGCACGTAGCGGGTCCTGCCAGCAGTTGGAGAACGAGGAGCAAGGGGAGAGCCAACTTTTGAGGCGCCTCAAAAGCGGGTCCTGCCAGCAGTTGGAGAACGAGGAGCAAGGGGAGAGCCCAGACGGTGAATGGGTGGCGAGGTGAAAAAAGGAGTGTTTTGAGACGTCTCAAAACAAGGGGAGAGCCCAGAAGGTGAATGGGTGGCGAGGTAGGGTTGGCGGTACACCACTGCATCCTCCTCGTCGATTAGATAGCACCCCCCTTCCTCCAGCACTCGATCACTGGCTCTTAGTGGATCCTGGCACGTGGTGAAGGGTGGACGTGAGGGTAGAGAGAGATTGACGGGATGGTAAAGGGGTGAGGCACTGGCAAGGTAGGGTCGGCGGTACAACATGGCATCCTCCTTGTCTACCAGGTAGCACACCGCCTCCTCCAGTGCAGAGGGGAAGAGGGGAAACCGCGGGGTGCCCACTTCATGACAAGGTACGGCCGGTGGTACACCATGGCATCCTCCTCATCGATTAAACAACACCCTGGCTCTCTTCCAGCACTGGCTCCCAGAGGGTCGTGCAAAAGTGCCAGCAGCAAGAGGAGTGGGAGAGGAGTGGGAGAGGAGTGGGAGAGTGAGAAGAGTGAGAACGGCGAGCAGGAGGGCAGCTTGGGCACGGAAGGTTTTGAATAGAGCTTGCCTAGCAGTCAGAGTTTTAAATGGAGCTTTTCTACAAGTGACTATCAGGAGTTTGCTAAAGCATAGGGATTCCTGAGAATGCTCAACAGCAGCACAGGGCTGCTGCTTCCACGACTGGGGAACCATTTCCCCTCCCCCGCCCCCCTAAGTCCCCCAAGTCCCCCAAGTCCCCCAAGTCAACTGGGGGCAGAACAGAATTTCAAGTGGGGGCAGAACAGAATTTCAACTGGGGGCAGAACAGAATTTCACCTCTGGGCAAAACAAAAGTTCACCTCTGGGCAAAACAGATGTTCACCTCAGGGAAAAACAGAATTTCACCTCAGGGCAAAACAGAATTTCACCTCAGGGCAAAACAGAATTTCACCTCAGGGCAAAACAGAATTTCACCTCGGGGCAAAACAGAAATTCACCTGGGGGCAAAACAGAATTTCACCTGGGGGCAAAAGAGATTACCCCATGGGGGCAAAAGAGAACTTGCCCTGGGTGGGGGCAAAACAAAACTTGCCTAGGGTGGGGGCAAAACAGAACTTACCCGGGAAATAGAATCCTACCTGGGGAGAAAAGAGACTGTTCCGGGGTTGGGAAGAGAATGGACCGAGGTTGGAAATCAGAATCTGGTTTGTTGGGACAACAGGGGGGAGAGAGTAGTGGGGAGGAGAGTGTGCCTTGATGACCCGAGCCTAGCTGCCCCGAGCCTTGACGCCCCAAGCCTTGGCGCCCCGAGCCCAGCTGCCCCGAGCTGGCTGGAGGGGAATGGGAGGCAAGGAGCAAAGGCAGGTGGACACCCTCACACAATCACCCATCCCAAGCACCAGAACGGGTCGGGTCGTGGGCAGAAACGAGAAGACCACGGCTCGTACAGTAGCTAGGCAAAGCGCAAGCGCGAAACGACGACCAAACGGCGAACAACGAAGGAAAGGCATGGCGCGCGTCGCGGAAAGAGCACTGACCCACGAGCGCACCTGCATCTGCTGCCGATCGTTCTCTATTCGCTGCGCCTTGTGCATTTCGGTCCAATCCGTTCTAAAAGGCGCCGCGCCATGTGCATTTCAGTCCACGAAGCTCATGCAAGGTCAGCGGGGAAAATGCAGGATATCAGGTCAAGAGCGGCACGAGACGCCCATATCGGGTCGCGCATGGCTTCTAGAAGCGAGTCGCGACCTGCTAGCTAGAGCGTTTATCGAGCGATACATGAGAGAAAGGAGGAGCAAAAACGTGACCGAGAGATTGCGAGATGGGAGGCAAGGAAATTCGAATTGGTGCAGCCGCGGGCGAGGGGGTGGGTGGCGAAAGGACAGGGGAGAGAGGCAAAAGTGCAGGGGAGGTAAGGAAAAAAAGAAGTAAAGGGAAAAAAGGAACCCAAAACCGAGTGGAGTGGGCAAAAAACGATAACGAGAACTAAACGTGGGTGGGAAAAACATGACGAGGGGAAATCTGCCATTTCAGTCCCAACCTCACACAATCAAACCCTAAAAACAGGGTCAAATACCTTCTCAACTCTGCAACCTCGAAGCGCGTGCGGAGAATCTTGGGTCGTCCAGTAATGCAGTAAGTGGCACCGCGGGTCTTGAATCCGTGACACAAACAACCTCCCCTCCACATACATTTGACGAGACGCATTCACCTTATTGAGGGATTCAAAACGGGAGCACCATTAGAACGTTGCAGTGTAAACACATAATCAAAAAGTGTTTCCATCAGATTGAAACATGTTAATTTCATTGGTTCATTCTCTAGACCATAAACAACATTTTTTTCTTTACAGGACTGGGTGAGAGCAGCTGCAACGCGGAGAATGTTGGCCGGTCGCTCTCACTACTGTAGCGCGAAAACAGATGCGCATGTCCGTGAACTTGAATAACGAGGTAGTAATCTCGTAACTATCCCTCCTCGGTATTGCGTCACTCTCCGCCACGTCACTACAGGATGTGCCACGCATCACCACGTTACTATGGGTTGCGTCACGCAACGCCACGTCCCTACGGGATGCGCCACGCATTGCCACGTCACCATGGGATGCACCATGCATCGCCACGTCACCACGCGCAGCGCAACGGATTGCCACGTCACTATGGGTTGCGTCGCGCAATGCCACATCCCTAGGGCATGCGCCGCGCATCGCCATGTCAACACGGGATGCACCATGCATCGCCACGTCACCACACGCAGCACAACGCATTGCCACATCACTATGGGTCGCATCACGCAACGCCAAGTCACTACGGGATGCGCCACGCATCGCCACGTCACCAAGGGATGCGCCATGCATCGCCACGTCACCACGGGCAGTGCCACGCATCGCCACGTCCCAATGGGTCGCGTCACGCAATGCCACATCACTACAGGATGCACCACGCATCGCCACGTCACCACGGGATGCACCACGCATCGCCACGTCATCACGAGCAGCGTGACACATTGCCACGTCACTATGGGTTGCGTCACGCAATGCCACGTCAATATGGGATGCGCCACGCATCGCCACTCCACCGCAGGCAGCGCGACGCATCCAAACGTCACTATAGGTTGCGTCACACAACGCCACGTCACTACGGGATGCCCCATGCATCGCCGCGTCACCACGGGCAGCGCTACGCACCGCCACGTCACTATGCGTTGCGTCACACAATGCCACATCACCACGGGATGCGCCACGCATCGCCACGTCGCCACGGGATGCGCCATGCATCGCCACATCACCACGGGCTGCGCCACGTATCGCCACGTCACAATGGGTTGCGTCACGCAATGCCACATCACTACAGGATGCGCCACGCATAGCCACGTCACCACGGGATGCACCACGCATCCCCACGTCATCACGAGCAGCGTGACACATTGCCACGTCACTATGGGTTGCGTCACGCAATGCCACGTCGCTATGGGATGCGCCACACGTTGCCACGTCACCGCAGGCAGCGCGACGCATCGCGACGTCACTATGGGTTGCGTCGCGCAACGCCACGTCACTACGGGATGCGCCACGGATCGCCACATCACCTCGGGCAGCGCTACGCACCGCCACGTCACTATGGGTTGCGTCACGCAATGCAACGTCACCACGGGATGCGCCATGCATCGCCACATCGCCACGGGATGCGCCATGCATCGCCACGTCACCACGGGCAATGCCACGCATCGTCACGTCACTATGGGTTGCGTCATGCAACGCCACGTCACTACAGGATGTGCCACGCATCGCCACGTCACTATGGGTTGCGTCACGCAACGCCACGTCGCTACGAGATGCGCCACGCATCGCCACGTCACCACGGGATGCACCATGCATCGCCACGTCACCACGGGCAGCGCTACGCACCGCCACGTCACTATGGGTTGCGTCACGCCTTGCCACGTCACCACGGGATGCGCCACGCATCGCTACATCACCACGGGCAATGCCACGCATCGCCACGTCACAATGGGTTGCAACACGCAACGCCACGTCACTACAGGATGTGCCACGCATCGCCACGTCACTATGGGTTGCATCACACATCCCCACGGGATGCGCCATGCATTGCCACGTCACCACGGGCTGCGCCACGCATCGCCACATCACTATGGGTTGCGTCACGCAACGCCTCGTCACTAAAGGATGCGCCACGCATCGCCACGTCACCACGGGATGCGCCATGCATCGCCACGACACCACGGGCAGCGCTACGCATCACCACGTCACTATGGGTTGAGTCACGCAACGCCAAGTCACTACGGAATGCGCCACAGATCGCCACGTCACCACGGGAAGCGCCATGCATCGCCACGTCACCACGGGCAGTGCCACGCATTGCCACATCACAATGGGTTGCGTCACACAATGCCACGTCACTACAAGATGCGCCACGCATAGCCACGTCACCACGGGATGCACCACGCATCGCCACGTCATCACGAGCAGCGTGACACATTGCCACGTCACTATGGGTTGCGTCACGCAATGCCACGTCACTATGGGATGCGCCACGCAACGTCACGTCACCGCAGGCAGCGCTACGCATTGCCACGTTACTATGGGTTGGGTCATGCAATGCCACGTCACTACGGGATGCGCCACGCATCGCCACGTCGCCACGGGATGCGCCATGCATCGCCACGTCACCACGGGCTGCGCCACGCATCGCCACATCACTATGGGTTGCTTCACGCTACGCCACGTAAGTAAAGGATGCGCCACGCAACGCCACGTCACCACGGGATGCGCTGTGCATCGCCACGTCACCACGGGCAGCGCTACGCATCACCACGTCACTACGGGTTGCGTCACGCAATGCCACGTCACCACGTGATGCGTCACGCATCGCCACGTCACCACGGGCAATGCCACGCATCGCCACGTCACAATGGGTTGCGTCACGCAACGCCACGTCACTATAGGATGTGCCACGCATCGCCACGTCACTATGGGTTGCATCACGCAACGCCACGTCCCTACGGGATGCGCCACGTCACCACTGGATGCACCATGCATCGCCACGTCACCACGCTGTCAGAACTTATATTTGTAACTGCCTGTAGCTGTAGCTAGTGTAGTTATTATAAACTT